ATTTTCAGATTATTTAATTCCTTTTGTTTCCGTTTGTAATTTTATTTTTAAGACATATTATGTGATTGTTTACAAGCAAGTTTTTACAGCCCACACATATCTTGAAAATGTTTGTTTAAAGCTTATCTGGTATATAACTACATTGTTAATTGTGATATTTTAACACTTTATTCAAATTACTACTAGTTACCTATCAATAATTTTTTAATATCTCATGATATCTCATGATATTTAATTAATACCAAAATCGACGTATACCAGCACCTTTATGCCTTTTTCTAACCTAACCTTTATGGGTAAATATCTTGTTCACGGTTTTGAACTAAACAAAGTGTGCCTTTCTTACGTAGAATAATTCTGGCTTTTTTAGTTTTTTTAATTAAGGTAAAAAGTTTTGTGAGAAACTGTCCTCTTCCTTAATAAAAAGTTTTAATTTAATTATAGTTAAGTTAAGTTAGTTAATAGTTATTCAGAACTTTACGGATGTTTACATTATATCCTCCATTCTCCAAAATAAAATCAAAAAATAAAAAATCTAAATAATTCATCACAAAATTCAAATTATTTAAACTTGTTTTATAAAGTTTTAATCATCTGCTGATTATGCTAATATGGTTAGCGAAAGACGAGTCCAGTGTTTAAAAAAGTTTTTTGGTGTATTGTCGCGAATTAATGTTTTAATTTACTGTCGTAACTGTACTGTAACCTAAAGCCATTCGCTTTGGCAGCAAAATATGTGTAAGAATACAAAATCTCAAGGAAAATGGATAACAGTATTCTTAAAAATCAACAAAATATATTATTTTTCTTTGTCCTTTTAAGGGCTGTAACTTCCTCCTTTCCTATGCAGCACTTAGGGCATATATGTTTATAGAACCTGTTTTTTTTATTTGTATCTGTAATATCATCTACTGAAGTTTGGCCCATTATTTTTTTATGCCCTCTATTTACGTAAGGCTCAAAGTCAAAGGCGCATGTTTACTTATGTATGTATTTGATAAATTAAGATTGTGTCAGTACTTAATTATTAGCCCCTTATCATTTCATGCCTAAATTACGTTACCGAAAAAACTATTCTTCTGTCAGTCATATCTATACCAAATTATCGTAAACAAATAGGATAAAGTTATAAACAGTAATGTATCATAAAGATTTTCATTTTTTTATAAATTTTAATATTACAAGCAAAAATAACTCCTCCAGTAAAATGAAAATTATCGTATTAGAGGATAAATTTCAGGGTTGTAAGTTTTTGTATTTATTGTAATTTAAATTATGCTAGGACTGTAATATTAAACCGTAAATAAACCAGGGCCAAATGTTATAATTACACAGTATTTTATACGGTTTATAAAGGTTATGTATTAGTAATAATTGATTTGAATAAAAAGATTAAAGAAATATAATAATATAAAAACAGTATACCGGGTGGTGCATCGTCGTTGGGAACGTAGGAAATCCCATGCAAATTTTACAGCTAGTCGTGAAATTTGGACAATTTTGGACAAGCCGATTTTAAGTAATTTAAGAAAAACTCCATCTATTTTTAAATTAAAACTGAACAGATAAAAATGCAAATCCAGTCATAATAATAGTAGATTATTTTCTTTTATATATGGTCATAATCCAGTCAATTGTCAACAAAACACAACAATTAAATTGTCAACATATGAGTTTATCATTGTCAAATATAATTTGTTGTGCTGTCTACACTACTACCAACTACTAAATTACAATACCTAGCTTAGTGTACCCAAAATGTATTTTTGTAATTTAAAACTGGTTGGAATGAGGCAAAAGCCTCTAATGCTGAGTTTACACATGCAATGATTTACTGGCGCCAGTGACTACTGGCGCGCCAGTAACTTTAAAATGCATATGTAAACACGTCCTGGCGTGCAAGTGTTATACATGCATGCATGGTTTAAAAATTTTAGCGGGCTACCAAAATTTTATGCGCCAGTAACTTTTCTGGCGAAAGTAAAATTTAAACTTGCTAGTCTAAACGCATTCCGTGCACGCCAATTATCGCGTGAAATCACTTTTGAGGTTAGCGGAACAGTTTTAATTTGTTGTTTTGAGTTTTGTTCACGATGAGCAAGAAAGAGAAGAAATGGAAATCAGAAACCATTATACGGTTTTTAGAATTGCATAAACAAGTTTCTTGCTTGTGGGATGTGCATTCTGGAATGTACAAAAATAAAGATGCTAGGGAAAATGGCTATTTACAGATAGCACGATTAATGAATATTGAAGGATTTGGTTCATCAAGATATCAAAATAAAAATCATATCCTTCTGCCATTCGTAAATGATTTCGAAAACTTTGAGGGTCTTTCATTAAAAGTTCTTTTAAAAGCAAATTTGAAGCCCCCATCATTGGTCTTTGAGCTATCCATTCGCGCACCCATACGCGACCTTTTCTCTTATGTTGCTTCTTTCGTTCAAAATCTTTAATCATCCCATCAATTATCAATTTTGCAATTCTTCGACAATTACTTTTTAAAAGCTCTTTTCGCGACATGATGCAAAAACTATTAAGACTAGCAACTGGCTTGCAAAACACAGTAAACCGTGTAAACGCTTACTGGCGTTAACACTGGCGCCAGTACATCCATGCATGTGTAAACTCAGCTTAACGTTTAGATCATAGATAAAAGAAAATAATCTTCTATGTTTAGATAATACAATTATTTGTCATTGACAAAATTATAGGATGACAAGTTAAGGTACTTTGGCATTTGCCCGGTTTTGCATTGTTACCTGTTCAGTTTTAATTTAAAAGTAGATGCAGTTTTTCTTAAATTAATTAAAAACGGTTTGCCCAAAATTGTTCAAATTTGGTACGTGTTTTCAGCATACCTAGACCTTTAAAATACCTATTACGACTTTGCTGTAAATCAGTAGAAGAGCCAATATCTGGACAGTTCAGGTATAAGTAATGGCTATCCATGCATTCATGCAGACGGAATGAATATCATGAACTCTCATTTGTGACAATTCTGTTTAACGATTCAGTTGACACACCTGAACTTAATTTAAAATTTCCCGGATTTATTTTGCTTTTCTAAACTTTAAGTTATTTATTATTTATTCTACAATTTGTTTTGTTTACAGGGTGATTCCTCGTCAAGAAATACTAAAAGATTTTCTTGTAAACATGGATCCGGAAATGTATAGTTTTAAAGATACAGGATGTTAATACTTTTCTTAATTTTCTTAAATACTATTATTTTTCTTTGAATTTGCTTTAGGTAGCTGAACTGAACATCAATGTTAATAAATGTAATTTGTTATCAAGTATTTTAATACTTTCCTTAAGCTGCAAATTGAAATAAAAAAAATAAAGCTCTTCCTACGGTCTAAAGGTCTTCCTACGAATTGGTTTTAATTTTTTCTCTCGAAAACAGTTCTAGGCATATGGTACCGAAGAAATAAAAATTGTACTTTTAGTTGTCTAGTTTAAAAAATATATAAATTGCAAGTAAAGTTAGTGAAGTATTTTTTTCCCCAATTATTTTCGATAAGGTGACCACTGGGACGCCACTGAGGTTAATGAGTTTACCTTAATTACGCCTAAATTAGGCCATTATTACTAGAAATAACACTGACAAGTTTTAAGAAAGCCGGCTATAGGGTATTTAAGATATTTACAAAAAAATCCTGCATTTTTAAAACTACGCATTTTCGAACCAACGTGTTTATAGGAACTGTTTTCCATATTTTTCTTTATGAGAAATAACCTCCTGAAACTTGGCCCTGCTTTTTCGAACACCCTGATTATTTTTTCTTCAATTTCGATATTGATTATCATAAATACTAACATATTTTTTGTCAGTATTATTTTGAGTCATAAAAAATATTTATACAGGGAGGCGCACTTCATTCACCTCGGTTGATTATACTAAAACGGAAAAATGTAGAAACAAAATATTTTATAGGTGTATGTGGGGGGACTCTATGCACAATTTAAAATTATTTTGAAATATACAGGGTATTACAGAACTAAGATCCATACCAAAGTTATATTTTTTCTTATGGAACACACGGTATTTTATTTCATTTTTGTATTCTTGGGCCCCAAAAAAAGCATTTATTATAAGGGTTAAATATGTTTCAAATCTTTAGTTTTTGGGATATTTAAAGATATTTATATTTACATGCTACAATAGAATAGATTATTAACACCTTGTACATTACTTTTCAGAATTAATTCTTATGCTGAGTTTAAAGGTAGAGAAAAAAACTTTACTAAAAAATGGTATTCCTTCCTTAAATTTATACAGGGCTATCAAAAGTTACTGATCTATTTTAAGGTTATATTTTATATAAAAACTTCGTCATTTCAAATGCAACAGCCTATATTTTTTTAAATAAATCGAAGCAGATTCAAATGCTCTTTCAAACTATATTAGGGTTTCCTATACCTATCTAGCTCAGATTTTATCACCTGTATTTCAAAATCATTTTAAATTGTGCACATTGCCTCCCCACATATACCCATAAAATATTTTGTTTCTACATATTTCCGTATAACCAACCGCGCGAATGAGGTGTGTCACCCTGTATTAATTTTATATTTAATTTTCAAAATTGATAATTTTTCGAATTAGTTAAAAAAAATCAAGAAAAATACTATTTTATTTCAATACTGTATGTAAATTAGTATACAGGGTGTAATAACGAAAAAATATAAAATTCAGATGATTACTTTCTTAAATATCTAAAGTTTTCCTTTTTTTTCGTATAAAATCTTTTGATTTGTAGTTTCCCCGTAAATTTTTCGAATACCGTGCACATTTAAAAACTATTTAATCCTATTTCAATATGAAACTTGTGTTGTTAAATTCTTTGCATTGATTTTAATATGCGCAATATTACTAATGATATAGGTGTGGCGCGCAATAAAGCGCACCGCACGCCATATGCCGAACAAAATATATTAAATACCTTTAGGTAAGTTTTATACTATTTTTATAAATATCTTTAACATTTACTTACCGTCAAAAATATGTTAAATATAAACAGAACAGTTTTCATCATCTGAATTCCGACCCCCATTTTGGCGCACTTTTTCTCAAACTTATTAAAACAAGCGTTAAAAAAATAAGCGAAAACTTAAAACCGGCACTACTACTATAACACGAAACGGTTAACCGTAAAAAGCTCCAAAAATATGCTCTTTAAACTTTAAAGTTCCAACGGCTGCAAGTACTGAACTGCTGGCGCTGACGAACTGCTCTCCTGCTGACCTCCTTCTTAGGTACCACCTAACCACATGAAAATCGCTGATCCTTTCGCAAGGACGGTACGGTGAATGGGAGTACTATAAACTGGTAAGCGAGCTTTTCGGTGAAACTTTTATTAACTTTGAAAATTAACCAGTTATTGGCTATAGGTGGGGATTGCGTTTTACTCATACGTATACAGGGTGGTCCAAACTGTAATCGGGAAATTTCGGCACATGTTCCACAGATACAAATAATTAAAAAAGTTCGTACGAAATCATGTCTTAAAATGTTTCGTTTTGGAGATACGTGGTGTAGAAGTTCATTTTTATTTCGTTTTTTTCTTAATAATTTCTGAAGTAACGTTCACTGGTCGGTGTCTGGGTGATTTTTGACATGGGAAATTCGATTTCAGTACCAGTACGGCTCATACTTGTCATCTCATCTTCATATTTTTTTAACTTTTTCGAAGAGTAATAAATGTTCGTTCGTACCTGTATTACACTACTGAGTGGAAACATATTCATTTTCACCATTTTTGAATTTTTGTTTTAGAGTTGAGAATGAAATAAAATAAAGTCGAGGCAACAAACCGTATATTGGTAATTGGTACTATACACAAAATTATATGGGTATAAAAACACACACAAAATTATATTTTTGGGTTCGTGGAACACGCTATTTGGTACTACTTTTATTTTCATGCACGAAATTGCTCCGCCAACAAAAACTAGTATCAAATAGCGCAAATAGTACGCTCTAGCATGATCTTTCCGTATTCTTATTCAGTTTTTATTTGGTAATGGCTCCTGTTTCGTCAAATGGGTGAGTTGACGTAGTTCGTTTGCGGTCCGTTAAGATTTTTTTTGCTAAAATTAGAATCGTTGTTGTTCATTTTTCCGTATTACATTTTGTATACGACGCTTTCTATGTAATAAAATATAGAAATATTATTACCTTTTTGTTAGAATGTAAAATTTTTCAAGACAAGAAATTTCAAGAGTCTTGCATGACAAGACAAGACTTTGCCTTTCAAGAAATCTGCAAGACAAGACTTTGAAAATTTCTTGTCTTGAATTTCAAGATAAGACAAGACATTGAGATTTTCAAGACAAGAATTCTTGTCTTGTGCAACTAGTTATTGGCTTAGATTAAGGTTATTGGACTGAAATAATAAATCTGATTTTTTTTGTGCTAAAGGTCCAACAGAAACTGATTTATCATAATTTTTTCTAAAGAAATTTATGATTAATTTAAAAAATAAAAAGTTTCCAATTTTGTCATTTCAGTCAAATACCTATCTAATCAACTTCATTATTTTTTGTCTGTGATGACATGTATTGATAATTCTAAATATCTTGAGAACGGTTACTCTTAGCGATTTTTACCAAGAGATCTTTTTTCCGAAAATGTATATTTTTTCTTTCGGTAGTTTTATACAGGTACAGACGAAACGTTATTACTCTTCAAAACAGTTAAGATACATAAAGAAGGTCCATTTTCCTCAAAGAGACCTGGTTTATAAATTAAAAAAGAAGAAGAAAGACTCAAAGTCTCGGTCTCAACATTTATATTATACTAAACTTTGACACGTGTTTCGCTCATACAAGCATCATCAGACCTAACAGGAAAGAACCCAAGTAAATAATAAATAATAAAAAGGTCATCGTAAGTTACAAAACACACACACGGGAGGTGAAACGGGAGGGACTAAATATTAGTCCTACAAAGACCATAATAATCCTCTTCACAAAGGCATGGGCCACAGAGAAGCAGACAGGTGCACAGGCACAGCAAGGCCTTTATCCAATGACCTAGCTCAAAAACTACAAAAGAATGCTAAAACCACAAATGAATGAAGAAGAAGAATGCTTAGTAGGAATAAAGTGCGGATTGAAACGAAATGATATGAAATCTAGGCTAGAACCGGGGGAACTACGCTCCCATTCTATCAAGAACCTGCATAGATTAGATTAGATTCTTAGAGGTGGCTTTCGGCCTGATCCACTGCGACCTTCTCAGATCTATTGTGGTCATCTTCTGATCCTTAGATTACATTCTCCAGTCCTATCATTTTTACAAAGTTTAGAAACTTGAACCCTCCATATAGCTCCCTGGCAATGGCCCATCATTGCCTATTACCGAGAACCGCACATTTGCCAGGCTGTCACACCGACATAAAATGTGTTCTGACGTTTCTTCTTCAGATTGGCAGAACCTACATAAGGACCTGTATAAGTTGGTGCAGGGTGGATGGGTGCAGACATAGAAATGGAGACAAACACAATAGGCCTCACAGGTCGCAGTGTTTCCGGCAAAGGACGGCCCCTGTTTCTGAAAAAAAAAACTTACCAAAATACAATTAAAATTACACTACACACGTTTACATTTTAATTTCTTCATCTCAGTATTCTTTTAATCTGTAAAATGTAAACATGTGTGGTGTGACTTTAAGTGTATTTTGTAAGTTATAACGACCTTTTTATTATTTATTATTTAATTGGGTTCTTTCCTGTTCCGTCTGATGATGCTCGTATGAGCGAAATATGTGTTAAAGTTTAGTTTACAATAAATGTTGAGGCCGAGTCTGAGTCTTTCTTCTCCTTTTTTCTTTTAGGTTTAAACATGAAGTTAATGTTCCGTACAGATAGAAATGAAATTTCTCATGATGTCAAAAAGCATACAAACACCAATTTTCATACAAATATCGACGTTAGATGAGAAATTATTTAGAAAAAATCAAAATAAAAATGAAACTTCTACACCCTGTATCTAAGAATCAAAACACTTTAGGACATAAACATGTACGCACTATTTTACTTATTTTTTTATGTGCAGAATATGCCGCCGAAGTTTCACGAATACAATTCGAACCACCCTGTAGACGCAAGTATGTACGCAAGGTGCTCGGACGTGCTTAAATGGACGTTTGAGTCACTAGAATTAATTGTTTCGGAATTAAGAAATAGTGATTCATTTGGTTCTTTCAGTAGTTTATGGGTTTTGTATAGGAAGCGTGTTTGTTTTGTGGTTTGATAACGCATTCTAAACAGGTGCGCGACAGTTTTGCAAGAGCCAATGGCTCACTTTTTAAATACAAAGACGGAATACGTACAATCTAACAATAATAAATTGTTTGGTTATAAATGTTTCTAAAAGCATTATCGCAATTACCTGTGCAGCGTTTATTGATTTTTTAATTATATTTTTCGTCACAGGCTGAATTTTTTCAATATCAATCAAATTTATCAACAGAAAATTATGCGAGTGATAAAGCTTTTAATTTCAAATATGAAACAAAAATGGTATTTCGAAAGTGCAAAATAACTGCATATTTTTCAGCGTCATTGATTATGCATTGTACCGCAATTTCTTGGAAGAGAAGGATTATTTTTTTTAAATTTTTATAAAAGTCTAAAAAATGACTCAACTCTATAACTTTATTATTTTTGCAGATAAAAGACGATATTTGGTATGTTAGTATATGAAATAAATTAACATTGATTTGTGTATTCAATAACTGTTTTGTGTCACTTTCTGTTTCACAGGAAATTACTACAACTTTTGTTTTTACATGACACCCTCGGTAATATATTTCTACTTTATTCGATAGAAAATAACACTCTGAATAGAATGACATATCATATGTCAACTTTTGACATTTCCTCATATGATTTATTTAAAATTGTACAATGCGGTTCATAACGACAATTTGACGCGAAATACCAAGTGTTTGGCACCAAATTATTCGTAAAAAAATCCTTTTTCCAAATATGCTAATGAGCCACCCTTTTTTCATTTGAAAAAAAAATAATTTTTAATTTTTTGAATAAAAATTAGTGTGTTTAACACAGCCATGACACTGTACAGGGTGGGTCAAATTCGACGCTTTTAAATGGAAACTCCCTTTTCTATAGGAGATAGATAAAAACTAATATGGGTGTCTGGAGCTCAATTTTTGTCAAAAACATGATGGTGAAAACCGCATATCGATATCTGTTACCGTTTCGGAGTTACGGGCTGTTTTTCAAAAATATGCATTTTTAACAAATCGCTCTAACTTTTTTGCTATGGAAAATGTCGTATTTTTATGAAAACACTTCCGAAGCACCATTTTACGTAGAATTTAATGGTTTAAGTATAATTTTTTTTAAATTAATAATTTAAGAATTATCAACAGAAAATTTAATTTTTTATATGGGACACCCTGTATATTTTCAATTTATTGAAAAGAATTTAAAATTACCTTTCCAAAAATATAACACACTTGATATTTTGCTCGATTCCTCTTCGAGATATAGAGTATATAAAAATTCGCCCGCTTTAAATACGGCTTTGAACGGCACTGGCTATAATGCAAAAAAATTCTAGCTGTGAACATCAATTAAAACGAAAATAATATTTGCTATGAGAGATGCAGAATTTTATAACAATTTAAAATATATTTAACCAACATCAACACATTTAAACTATATCTAATAACAATAAAAATAAATAGCAAACCAAGACATGAGATTTTGCTACAGGTGTTCGACATATATGGATAGACGGGGCAGTTTTTGAACATTTCTCGCGGAATTCATTAACTCAGTAGGGGTGACTCATTAACTCAGTATACGCTCTCATAACTGCTAAGTATTTCTAATTCTTGTCTAGGTTATACGGAAGAATAAAGAACCTTTATTCTTCCGCATATATATCCGCAAATAGATCCATGGGGCACTAAGTCAGGCGGTCTCGATAGGCTGGGATCTTGGTTAGCTAATTCAATTATTCTTTGAAATTATAAAAATTTGCTGATAACTTCAGCGTTCGGCGGTGCGTCGTCTTGGTGGAAAAATATGTTTTCGAGTTCCATTAAGGGCATATCATCAATAAGGGGTCCAAAGCCTACTAGTTAAAAGTGGCGAACTTTTAAAAATTCTGTATTTCGAAGGGGATTATAACAAAATATCAAGTGTGCTATATTTTTAAAAAGGTAATTTTAAATTCTTTTCAGTTAATTAAAAATATAGAGGGCGTCCCAAATAAAAAATCAATTTTTTCGTAGAATTTAATTCTACGTAAAAAGGTGCTTTGGAAATGTTTTCATAGAAATACAAAATTTTCCATAGTAAAAAAGTTACAACGATTTGTTAAAAATTC